AAAGGGAATGCTGCAGATTCTTGACAGCAATGATTAGGGAAACTGCAGATGTTCTGTTTCATTGAAAGATAAGTATATTTATGTAACTTTAAAGGGCTGGCTTGAGATACCAAGGATCAACAGATTTCAGCTAAAGAATTAAATTGCAGACCCAAAGCTGACTGACACTGAGAGTGAGACTTGCTTAGAAATCAGTAGCGTGTTGTATAAAATGTAAATATAATATTCTTGAGTTAAGAATTAATAGGAACTAGCCCAGGAAAGCAATTAAATGAACCTTTAACTGTACATGCTTGAGTAAATATTTTCAGTGGGAATACATATTCTGAAATTGAAAACCATACCTGAAACCTTTGCTGGACCCTTTGAGGAGTCCTCAAGCTATCTGTAAATATTGAATATACGTGAATTGTTTGAAATGTATGACCAAATTGAAAATAACCTCTTTATCAGTGGGCTTCTGACTATCAACCTTGACTGATCATTAATTGTTTTCTTCTTTTTCATGCATCTCTCCCAGATTCCCTGTGAGCTGAAAAGTTTGAGAGTCTTTTCTAGGGTCTGGTTTATTCCCCACTGATATGATTATGTGGCAAGGTTCACCAAAACAGTATCAATAGGACTTTTTTTTCTTTTTTTCCTTTCAAAATAAAGTTTCCTAATCTTATCCATTCTTTCCCCCTGTTCCTCTCCAGGAGATCCATTCCACACAGACCATGGAATTTTGGCTTCTCATTTGTATGTGGAAGAAAAACAAATTTCAGAATGTTGGAATTTCCTACAGATCAGAAATTCCTTTTTCCAGATAGTTCTTCATTAAATGTCCTAGTGGCTTCTGTGGCACTTGGCTTGTCTATGTAGGGTTTTCAGGCAGATACAGAAACACCTGAATGGAGGAGAAGGGACTGTATGGCAACACACCCAGCACCTTGCCATGAGGTGAAGCACCCTCTGCCCCAGTGATGAAACTGGGGACTCCCAAAGTTCCAATCCATTGTTAAATCTGTTCCAGAATGATGACTCCTTTGCTCAGTCAGATTAACCTTTCCAGCTGTAAAGGTACTGGATGACTTTGTTAAAGATGGGATGCTCAGAAGTTCTGAAGAGGGCATCTGTCAGCTCTTAGCAGCTTTCACAGGGACTTTTTAATCCTAACCTGCCAGTAAGAGGGAATTTTGAAGGCATTATTCCTTCACATGATAGTTTTTCCCCAGCATAAAAGAAAATAAATAATAACAGAAGTAGAAGATTTCAGTTAGTAGAAAAGGAATGGAATTAGTCCTAATATCTCCCTTTACATGGTCCCTGATGCAATTCCAGTGTGATGCCTTCCAGTGTGTTAATTTTGCTGCCTGCTCTCCCGATTCCTCTGTTAAATTTCTTGGGGGAGGAGAAGAAAGCCAAATTTCACTGAAATGCAGTAGAAATAGGGATAAGGGAACAGGAAGCTCATTCTATGTGGGACAAAAAAGGTAAAATTTAAATTATCCAAGAAGAAATGTGTCTGGTGGCAAGGCATGAGCAGGAAGTGTGAGGGAGATCCTGAAGGAGTTCTGCTCCTCTGCTGCTGTGTCCTTTCCATAACAATTGTGACTCTGTACGTGTAGCATTTGAGTGTGGGTGAGACACATCTTCACTCTCCAAAGTATATCTCCTGTAGTCATTTCAATGAGAATATGTAACAAGCTACGATTTCACTGTTTCTGGTTATTTTTTGTTTTCCACAGTAAAAGGCAGTTATAGTTTACACTTACACAGATGAGAAAGGTATCAGAACAAATTTTGAAGCACTTTCTTCCATAAATGACAATGATTTGCCTTTTCTGTGCTGGAAAACAATATTTAAAGGAAGCCTAGCTGATTGGATTTGTTTACAACACCCTTAGTCCTAAGACAAAGACCATCACAAAATGTTCTTACAGAAGTTGAGTAGTTAGGAAGGAATGATGAAACACTGAGTAATGGTCAAAAAGAGAAATAAAATTATATCCAACATGTCTTAAGGGACAACAATAGATATCTCAAGGTTCCTTGGATTTTCTATCTTATACTTAGGGAACATAAAGGTCAGAAGACATTCATGAGCATCTCTGTCAAAGACTTATCAGGAATGGGTGAAGGATCTTGCACAGTTTTAGTAGGGAAAAGGAAATCAATCCTCCCTAGTAGCAATTTCCGTAAGCATTAAGTCTAACTTTAAAAATGTTCAGGGAACAGAGATAAAGGCAAAAACCAAGGAAATGAGGCAGATTCCCAGAGAGAGGATGTCAGGGATGGTGGAATGAAGGTATGTGCCTTTCAGAGCCTCAGAGTAAGGACCAGAAGAGATTCTTTGGGCATGCCTTTCAGATCACTGCCTGGAAGTATGAACACTATTTATGACACCCCCAAACCTGGCTGGCTGCACTTGTAATGAAACTGCCTCAACACTCTCTCTGAGGAGCTTTCACAGATAGAAAATGGTTGTTTCCCTCTAATTTCCCTCTATTCTAATGTGAATTATCTGTGGAAAATACCACTTCTGTAAGGCCAAAGCTGCTTGATATGACTCAATTCAGGCTTTGGTCTGCTTTTAACCAGGACTAACTCCTTGAATTTCAGGTTTGTTTTTTTTTTTAAATTTTCTTTTCTAATTGACACCACTACAAAGAGAAGAAAATCAAGTGATAACAATCTCTTCCAGTAAGTGATCCTGGAGCTGTCTTTCCCATTAAAGTCTCTCTTCACAGCAGGGTCTTAAGAAAGTTCAAGGAATGCATGTCTGTCGATTCAGGAACAGGCACAAAAAGTCTAAGCGCCTTCCTGAACCGCTGCCTTAAAATAACTCCACCAGTGGCCACTTGTGCAGTGACATTTTGGAAATGTGCACTGCTTTATTAGAAAACTGGACTGTGAATACCAGGCAATCTACTGCGGTTCCTGGGATGGCAGCCCAGAATCTCAGCAGCCTTCCCATCTCAGCATAGCTCAGAAAGGCAATTTTTAAATTTACATCTTCATGTAAAATAATAGACATTGCGAGATGGGGAAGCCTCATAAACTGAAAAAATCAGTTGATTTTGCAGAAGTTGCTTGCTAATTTTCACCTCATAAAGATTTCAGAAGGGATTCTAGCACTTTGTTAAACTGCTGCAGTATTGGAGTCTCCCATGTTTATTTATACACACCTAGTAAACTCCCTGAAGTAGCCAAAGGGCCTGATTTCACCAGCACACAGCTGGGCTTTTCTGTTTTCCGTTGTGCTGGATTAATGTTCTCACAGACAAATGTGAGCAAAGTGTGTACATTAAGCGCAGGTGTTTGTTCCCTGAGGAAATGTGAGAGCCCACCACTAACCTCTCTAGTCCAGGTGCACTTGTCCAAAGAGGGATGATGGTTAAATGCCCTACTTCATGTATCCTTTCCTTTGCAGCTGCAGCTAAACCTCTGTTTTCTGTTTGGAGCTATTGGCTTGATTTCAGCCTCTGTCCCCTCAGCAGCTCACCTGTCACATTCAGCACAGGTGGGTCTAGCACTGTGTTCAGGAATTTGTTGTAGGGCAGGATCCCAGCCTAAAAAAGGTCTGCTCAGCTCTAGCCAGGTTTATTGTCCAAATTCTCAGCTGTTGGAAAGTTTAGTTGACTTAAACCCATTGTGAAAATCTGTGCAGAGATTTGTTTCCACTTTCAGGATGTTTGTGCTGACTTGCCCCACTGGAAAAGCTGCTTAAGCTGGTGGAATAAAGTAGTGTTTTCTCTGATTTGAACTGGAGGACTCAGAGTCCTCCAGTTCTCCTGAAACATATTTTCACTTCAGTTACACCAAAGCAAATGCTACTGAGGATGGAGAAGCTGTAACACCAAAATAGTACTGTGAGATACAAGAAACCTTTTGCTTATTTTGCTAGTTTATGCTTCACCCTGTGCTTATGTTCCTCTTGTGTCCTTCACCTTGTCCAGTGGGATCAGCCCCAGTGTTCCTGCCCTAAGCCTCCCCTGGCAGTCAGCCCTCTGAGCCAGCAAGGGGGTTTGCTCTGGAGTCACTCGCAGGGGTACTCAGGGTACCCCTCTTGAACTTCCCCCCAACAAGTTTCTCAGGTAATATCAGTGGTCCCCATTGAAAGTCAGCGTGAGCCAACAAAGTCAGTGGTTTTGGGCCAGTGACAGGGAGATAAGTGTCCTGGGCTAAAGCTGCAGCACAAAAGGTTTTTGCACGGGTGTTAAGGGATGTGCTGCTGGCAGACACCAGGCTTGCTTAACCCATCTGGACAACATCTCCTGCATCTGTTGGGGTTTTCTGCTTCATTATTTCTGTTGAGCCATATACCTCCCTCATCTGGAATATCTCAGTTGATTTTAGTGAATTTCTCAGGGTTTTCATCTGCGCTAAGGAACGTTTAGTTCATTGCTGATAATAGTGACACTACCTCAGCCCTGCAATGACTGTGGCAGATGGGCCAAATGCAAAGTTGGGGTAGGCAAGAATATCCTCTGTTGGAAATTTTGGGAACAGATTTTGCAATACTGTTTGTCTGTGCAATTTAGACCCATTCAGTGTGTAAGCTGGCCAGAAAAAGTATCTAAACAAAGCTGGTGGGAAGTGCATGTGCAAAATGAACAGGAATTCTATTTCACTGGGGCCAAGGAGAGGTATTTGAACAGAATGAAAGGAGAAGTATTATGCAGAGTCTGTGTGTGGAGACTTAGTTGCATGAAGAACAAGGAAAAATAAATCCTGCACAGAACTATGTTATCAGTGGATCTAGCTGCTGGTATTTTGGTGAATTGTTGTTGCTATCCCAGCCATCTGGAGCATGAAAAAGGGGTGAAGATTTTGATTTTTAAAAATAACATTTAGGACAATTTTTTTAGTTCCCAGCTCTTTGGAGGGCAGTACCCAAAGCAGTGCTTGTTGTTCATTGTGGGAGGGGAAGAAGCAAATGACCTGCACCTGGTTTGCTGGGAACTCCACCCTGGGTGTAACGCTTGTTCTCCTCACATGCTCTCCACGAAGCTCCTGGGTGCCAACACTCAGAGTGTTACAGTGGCTTTTCCCAGCAACGTGCATCCATCCTGCCAATCCTGAAATCCATCTTTGCCACTCAGATTTAACATTTGTCCTTTTGCTGTGCTGAGGACCAACTGTATGTTGCAGGTAAGGAGCATTCTCCCCTCCCTCTGTAGGTGTGACTTCTGCTGCCCTGGTGGAGGGGAAGGGAATGTGTTAATGACTCTGTAACGAGAGGGGTGATTTTTTCCTGACAGCACTTTTAGGTTTGCTTCCAAATTGTGTACAATTGTCATTTATGCTCCTTTAAATTCTTTCTTTTTCTCAGAAGAAGTCAGTGTATAAAAAGAGAATTTGGATTATTAGGTTGCTGGCACTGACCTGTATTTTCCACTGTGTGTGCTCGAAATACAGTATAGTCTTATGCCTCTCCTCATTTGTTTATTTTTTCCTGTCCACTCTTCCTTCTGCCCCCTCAATAAGATGTTGGATTCCTCTTTTCGTGATACTGTAAAATTTTTAAGTGAGCTATTAAGTCACTTCTTCAGTTTCTCTGGAAACATTAAACTTGTACATTTGATCTCCTGAAGTGTGAAAAGCCCAGTGAAATGACTGAGGCATATTAGTGCTTGGGTCCTCAGTGCACTCAGAAGACACCAAATTTTGGTCCTTGCTACTGGAACAAGAGCTTTGAAAACAAGGGATCTAATCCTTTATCGAGACATCTCATAGTTGTCAGTCTAAGGAGGTCAGTTTGCAGATGGGGAAGTGCCCAGCATTTAGTGCTGTGTCGGTACAGGATGGGTAGCATCTCCCTCCTTTCTCTGTTGCTGCCACCTCTTGTGTGCTGCAAAATCGAGCCCTGAGTGTAGGAGGGGATGAGCAGTGAAAAGGTAAAAGGTGGAGCAAAGGGACAATGATAGTGGCTGAGCTGATCTTCCTTTGGATGTTTCTGTTCAGGGTTCCTGCACCCTTCCAAACAGAATGTGGTTGAAGAGAACTGGGCAAGGGACAGGACAGCTCTGGATCTGTCTGTGTTCTAGTGCTTCACATAAAGATGCTTTTCAGCCCCTCTGAGCTTGAGTATCAGTGCTCCTGACCTGGGTATGTGAGTCAAGTACTGCAATTTGAAACTCTGCATTGTGGGTTCAAATCAAGCCCCAAGCTACAGGGAACAGCGGTGTTCACCGTTTCGTGGTCAGCTGATGGGTTCCTGGGATATGAGAACTCCTGGTCTTATCATTTTGAACCATCATTAATGTTGTGATAAAGGTCACCTTGGTCTATGTGATTGATTGGAATCAATGTTTTTAGGAAGGTAATTTTATTTTAGAAAGGATAATTGTTTTTTATTATGAAGATAATTGTAACTAGGGAGTCTCTGTGGTGCAATCCATTGCATGTTTGGCTGATAACTGAAAAGTTGAGATTTGAGCCCACCCATCATGGATTCTCCTTTTTCTCTGCCCGTGTCAGAAAGGTTAGAGTTACATGATCTTTAAGGTCCATTTTAACCCAAACCGCTCTATGATATTAGGCTTTAGGGTTTTGGCCATGCAAAGTGTGCTGTAAAGTGTGATATATATTCCTGATGGCAGTTCCTAGCACAGAGGAGAAAAGGAGTTGCTTCCTGTACCCCCACAGTGAGCCCAGTGCTTGGGACTGGGTACGCTGTGGATATACTTCCATGTAAAATGAACAGGGATGCCTATGATCAAATGGTAATAAGTTTTGGTTCCCAGGAACCAGTCCTATTTCAGAGTATACAGTGGAAATAATACTGCTTCTACTGCTGTTTTACTCTAAAGGAAATATTACTGTAAAAATAGAGCAATTTAGCAATAATTGTCAGCTAGCTGTCATGGCAGCAAAAGCCCCATAACAGAGCCAGTCCCTGAGCCAAGGTTATTTCTAACCCACTTCTAATTCGTGGAAAACAATTTGCAAAATTTTGGGTGGTTTGGGAATAAGAAAAGTCACTTTACAAATCATTGTCTGCTGCAGGAAAAGCAATTGTCATGGACCCAGAACGTAAAAACACAATATGGGATTTTTTTTAGTGTATCAAGTCATGTGACAAATGAGAAGGCTACCAAGGAACACAATTTCAACATAGTCAAACAGCTTCTGTTCTGCCTGTATGGTGAATATACTCTCAGTTCACACAGATCTTTGTGCTCCTGTGGTGCTTTAATAACATCACTTTAAAACCCCAACATTTGGGATGTGTGAGGAGCAGCAAATGCAGCACCTACAGTCATCAGTCGCTGTCAGCTCCAGGATGAGGTTTCTCCTTTCTAATCATGTGGCTCTTACGGCTCAAATGGCTCTTTCTGACATGGGGTGTTTCCTGCAGTCTCCAGAAAACAACCAGGAGAGTCTCTGATTGGTGTGCCCAGCTGCCTGAAGGCTCCAGAGCCTGGGCGGAGAGCTGGTGAAGGGAGAGGTTTCCATTTATTAACCTTGGCTGCTCCCAGGGGTGATGCTGATTTGTTATTACATCGTGTGGCAGGAGGGTGAGAGACCTGCTTGAGATGGAGGTGAGGGTGGGAAATCACTGGATAATAAAAGATGGCCTTTGGTCCAAGGAACTTACAGGACCAGGTGGAAAAAAGGGATGGAAGAAGGGCAGTATTGAGGTGCTTTGTGTAATGGCTGTGTGTGATAAATGCCTTGAAGAAAAAGGGTCTGACATTTCTCTCTGTTCAGTCTATGCAGCCAGGCTTTGGTCTTGTTTGTACTGGTGTCAATCACAGATAGCTCTGCTGACCTCAGTGCAATGACAGCACTCTCAGCTATCAAAGTATTGACTTGACATTAGTTATTCCACTTATAACCTGGCTGAATAGCAGCCAGATGGGAAGAAACAGGAATGGCTGGTAGCTGGCTGTTTCTTTGTGGCTGTTGACTCTTTATTTGATCTAGTGAGAACCAAATTAACCTCTCCATGAAATGGGCACTATCTGCTCCTGACAGCATGGGAGCCCTCTGAGCATTCTGAAGGAGCAGGACTTACACCAGTGGCATTGCTGTGTGCCCAGTAATGTCTGTGGGCAGGCAGACAAGGCATGGCACCACCCAGGGCATGGTTTCTGCCCCACTGGATGAGCAGAGACAAATTATATATGGCAGTGTACTGGGTCTGCTCCTTTTTCAGCAGCAGCCTTAGTAGCCCACCTCTTTGTGTTTAAAATGCTCATCGTGTTATTTATCATGTACTTTTATAAGTCGTATTTTTATTGTAGCATTTGTAAAAAAAGTCAGCCACTTCTTCTATGTTTACCTTAAGCACATCTGATGTGCAAGGCACCAAAACCCTCACAATGCCATTTTTTCCCAAAGACAACCAGGCTTGCTGTGGCACAGCTGGGCTGTAGAGAGTGTAGATGCTTCATACCCCAGAAGGACCCTCTTGTGATGCAACATTGCAGCTTCTGTGACCTGATGCAGTTCAGTAGCCCAGTTCCAGATCCTCTCTAACTGCTCACTGGAGCTGTGTGCTTGGTGGCAATGTGCTTGATTTGGGGCTGCGAGATAGGGCTTGGAGTGCTTAGTCAGTGTAATCTGTTCTGATTCATTCCTCTGGCTGGTTGGTTTCAAATGTATTTTGGATGCCTAATAATTCCAATAAGAAATTTCTAGGAGAACATCAGAAAAGCCGTCCACAGTATTTAAATCACAGTGTTAATGTGACTGAGCTCATGCGGCTCAGAGATTGCAAATCACTTTCAGATGCCGTCAGCATCTTTTTTTTTTGCGCTTGTCTATGTCCTTCCGTGACCATTGCTTGGAGAACCATGTGCACGCTCGAAGGATTTGCTTTGAGGGGAGGGCTCAAATATCAAAGTGGAAAAAAAGCATTCAAACCTAAAAGCTGACCATAAAGCCCAGCACATCATTTTCAGAAGCAGAACATTATTGTTACTCTGCTGACAAACTCCTTTTGAGGGCAGCAGCACGGTCCAGCACCATTTTAGATTTGTCTCGAAGCCGCACGTAACCAAAATAAATATATGGTTACATAAGAAACTATATTATGTTCTTGCTCCATGGTTCCAAGTTTAATTGTAAAGTAAGCACAAATGCAGTATGTCTGCACTTATGGAGATAGAGGGCCAACCTCTTCCCACATGCAACCCTGTTGATTCGCACCTGGGGTAAATGGGCCAAGCAAGTGCAAGGAAGGTGGTTTTGTCCCTTCTTCTAAGGTCCTTGTGTAAGATATAGAGGCCCACAGTGGAGATGAAGACAAGGGGACAGGTAGGGAGAGGTACTGAACAGGCTCTGGGGAGCAGCCACATTGCAGGGAGGGCAGTATGTGGCTTTTGGACATAGCCCAGCTTGGTGTGAGTAAATGCAGCCCAGAGGATTATATTGCTCACATGAATCAATGATGATTTATGCAGCTTGTTATTGTGCCAGCAGCAATGTCTATAGTTATAGTGACTTACTGCTGCATGGCACAAGCCTGCTTTCTGCTGCATATGACCAGGGAAAGAGTTATGGTGAGAAGCTGTGACAAACCTGCACTTCTAGAGCTAGGCTTTGAAATTTGGCAGGGGATCATTGTGCTGCTTTGCCCCTGAAGGTGGTGTGAAAATATATGAATCACTGTGTATTTCCAAAGGGCTTGGACACTATAACTTCAAATGGGATAGAAAAACCCACGAAGAAATCCATTTTGCTTCAGAGCAGAGATCTTCATGAAAGACAAACCTCAGCCTACAGAGGGAAAGGGTCTGGCCATGTGACTGGCACGATGCAGAGACAGACAAGGAGACACACGGCAAGAACAAGCTGGCAATGTTGGGACCTCGAGTTTTCTGAAGTTGTCAGTTTCTCAGTTCTAATCAAGGACAAATTGTTCAATTCCATGCAGAAGGGACTGGATAATGTTCACTGCCCTGTGTTCCCTATGGGATCAAAACTGCTTTTTGGCCAAGTTAGAATACAGCTGCCACTGAGGGGGAAAAAAAACCTGGGAAGATGAAAGGGCATTTTTCATGTCACAGAACTTTATAGCCCCTGGCCATAGGATATTATACAGTGCTCAGTATTCTGTCTCAGTCTCTAGACCTGTAGTGTAGTAGAATAATGTGTGTGTAAGCTTCCAAAAAAAGGATAAATTAAACCAAATCTGAGACACC